GCACATTGTCCTTTTTTGCCAGCCTTACACTGCACAAATACAAATACATTCCGGACATCACAGACAATGTTCGTTGCATGCAACTGTTGTGCCATCTCCCCCCCTTTACGATTCCGTGCCGTGCCCAGCATTCCCTTAGCCGCATTGCAGTCAATTTTTTTACTGCCTGGCCAGGCCGCTACACGTGACTGAATGTGTCTCTGCCCCCCTACCCCGCAGGTCCTTGCTCAGCCCCGTTCATTTGTTGACGCTCGTTGAGCATCGTGGAGCGTGTCCTGCGCTTTTTGGCCACAGAATTGAGTGTGTGTGTGTTTGTGCATCAAATATTGAAAGTATTACGGCTGCCAAGAGGCTGGTGTAAATATTTTGCAGCAAGTGGACGAACGGAGCCGCCTGATTGGGTTTCTTGGCAACATATATATATAGCCAAGTGCTGAGAATTGTATGGCAAAAACAAGCAAAGATTGTGAATAATACGGTTTTTGGCAAGCTCAAGCCCTGCGGGAAATTTCTGGCAAAAAACAGGTTGCCAACTGCGTCTATGATAAATGTAGACTGTAAATATACAATGTTATTGCGAGAGAACCCTTCTACGCGATTTTCATGAATTTGAGTCTTACCGCAAGGAAAATGGTGAATGCGAGAAAAGGGGATTAGAGAGGGAGAGAAAATAACTAAGAATATTAAACATTATTTTTACAGACGACTGAATTTGTAGCCACAAATCCAACTATAAACCTCAGCTCAACATAATATACATAATATACGATTTCAGGTCTTGTTTGTTGCATTTGTAAGATTTCCGCCCGCCCGTGTGCTCGTTGTCCTGTCTGGCTTCCTTAGACTTCACATTTGCTTAATGAGAATTTCATTTTGTGCGTTGTTTACCATAAACTACAAGAAATAGCATTCTCTTGCTGCTTTTCTGCTCCCCTTTCTAATTTACCTTACGTAGAGCCCTTCGGCTGCAATGTCGCAATGGCATTAATTTCTGCAAACTTATGCGGCCGCATCGACCCTTCCCGCGCTCTTTCTACTCCTCATACGAGTCTGGCCATAAATTACAGCAAACATTTGCCACACTTCCGCTTGGATCCCCTCGGGACTCGCCGCGTTGCGTTTTTAGTGGCATTTCTGCAGTTGCAACTACTTGCAGCTATTTTCATGACTTAAATCGGCTTATGGCACTCGGTCCGGGTGGCTTATCTGACCGGCGTCTGCCTGGTGTGAGCCAAAGGGTTGCGTTGCCCCATTGCTTAACAGGAGCTGCCGGCTCTATATGCAAGTGCAGAAAATCAATATTCTAGCCCCATACTTCTCGTCCGTTCTCAGTTCCGATGCCGGGACTGCCTTCATTGTTGTCGCCGTTCATGGCAATAATATTTAAATGGCCACTAAGCCCCCGGCTTGTCCTCTACTCTGCACTCCGCACCGTGCCGTTGTGCAGCTTCTTGAAATTTAAGCGAACTTTGATGCCGGACGGACACTATCTAAAATTGAACAATGCATTGTCAAACAAATTCAATAAAGCACATGAAAGCCTTAAGTGAGCTTCAGAGGCCCTGTTGTGGAAGCATTAAAACTTCTGCTTAAAAGCTCAATAAAGCTTTAGTTTAGTTAAATTAAATTCATTACTCAACTGCTGAGGCTTTCAGCTTAATTTATGGATTGTTTTTGCTAGCAAAAATATTAAAAGCTCTTGAAAGCTTTACTCCATTAAATTTGACGGCTCTGCTGCTTTCAGATCGTGACTAGTTGAAACATTTAAATAGTAAAGGCTTTTTAAAAAGCACATGAAAGCTTTTGAGCTTTGGCCCTTTTGCAAGCATATACTTGTAGTTAAAAGCTCATGAAACCTTTAAGCCATTAAATTGATTGTGCGACTGGATTGTGGCTTTCAGCTCGTGTAATTGGGGACTTTGTGCTTTAACTGTCATTTGTTAGCTGGCAAAAACAAGCAACCCCCCGTAACAGCAGCCAGCAGCAGCTCCAGGCCGCAGTCAACCCTTACCGCTAGCCCGCAGGTCACCCTGTCTGGCATACAACTGCATTGTAATTCCAATTCCAGACAACGGCGACGGCGGCGGCGTAAAGTCTAGTGCCGTCGCCCGCTTTGCGGCCAATGTGAAAAGCGATTTATTTCGCTTTATCAGCAGATTTGATTTTCTTTTGTCTGTTATTGAACGCTGCATTAAAGTGGACGCGCCAGGCATTTGTCATATCGCTGATTTACTAACCTTACACCAGGCATTATCTCTTGGCCCAGAGCCCAGCCCCCGCTTCAGTTAGGGGTGCAACATGGCGTAGCAATAGAGGTAACTAACACGAGCTGGTCCCGTTGTTTACGTGTCCCGGCGTCAACATAAAGTTTATTGAGGTAGTTACCACCAGGCGGCTGCAAAAAAAAACAACCAGCCATGCAAATTCCCTTTTTTATACACATATGAATATATGTGTGTATTTTTCATGCATTTGTGCAGCGCCAACAACCCAGGGCGGAACTTGAAATGAAACTGCAAACACGGCCCGTTGCCACAACAAACATGCATTAAAAATGATGTTCAGAGACAGCACGAAAAGAACGAAAGAGAAAAAAAACAAATGTGGAAAAAATTTGCAAATTGAATGTGCAGAGGTCGGCAGAGTGTGTGTGTATTGTGCTTAAGGGTTAGCTCGAGTGTTGCGCTATGAATACCGTTATGAATGTCACATGTAACGGAAGAAGCCCGTGCAAAATATGTAAACGCAACCATGTGCATTCTAGCTAGGTATTATTCGTGTCAGTTTTACACAATTTTACATATTTTCACCAACAACCGCGGGTTCAGTTCTTGACCATATGTATGTATATAAGCTCACACGACTTTTTTTAGTATTCTCGCATATACGGTACTTTTCCAGAGTTGCACTTGACAATAGCTTAAAATTTTGACTTGCATTGGCAGCACTGCGCGAACTTTAGCGCCTGCCTATTGTAAGACAACGGGGCATATTAGCGCTTGGCGCACGCTCTCTGCCATGCGGGGCACACAATGCAAAACCGCACGCCGTTTTCACGCCTAATAGTCTGCACATTTGGGAGTGGGTCCTGTTGCTTGTTGACTGACATTTTGCTCATTGTTGTGGGCTACATTGCAAAACAATGTGACCCAATATCCGCTTCATTTGCATATTTCCGCAGTACATATTTACACTGCAGTAGTTGTAAATTTGCCAGCTTGAAACTGTAAATTGTCGGGGCAGGGTTGCCAGGGTGTTTAATCATTTATCGATATCGGCACGTGTCTAATGCTTTTGAAGTAGGCTTTGCACGAATTGACATTGTTAGTTGGCTATCAAATCAGTTTTTCTTCCCAGTTGTGAAAAATTAGACGTGGGCCAAACATTTCGGAATTTTCAAGTGAAAAAACCAAAATTCCTTTCCGAAAAGCTTCGAAAGTTTTAATTTCATAAAGTAAATTTCAAATCGTCTGGAATTAATTTGTTTTGTTATTCGTTTGCAATTGGCTTTACGCGATGCTGGTAAACGTTACCCAGCGCGTTGCCGCTGGCACAAGCGTCATTATAAGCGGACGCAAATCCAGCGGCAACGGAACGGCAGCAGCAGCGGCAACATCACCAGCTGCCACTGTGAACAAAAACTATGAGATTAAGCCCCAAACTCGGGGCGCAAGTGAGTAACGACAACAACAACGACAAATACACAATTTTTTTCAATGTCATGCCGATGAACGACAGACAAAAAAAATGCGAACATAAAACGAAATAGCAATAGCCAAGCGTTGAGAGAGAGAACTAAACTGGGTGAGAGCTTTGGCGAGCGGAGCAACAAACAAAAAGCAGCGCTGAAAATATTTTTGCAATATGTACGTAAATGCGAATTATGAGCGAAACGCGCACACACTTGCGCATAATTACACATACATTCACATACATACACTCCCCCATTCGTCACCACGGCCCACGCTCTCCATGGCATTTCACTCTCGTTCTCTCGCGTTGCGATCAATTTTTTTTTTCACCACGTTACGCAATATGCGCGTTCCGTAGTTCTTTTCTTTTTGTGTTTGCGGACAAAGAATGTGTATTTCGGTTAAGTTTGAGCAAACGCTCACACACACACACACACACACAATATGTATAAATTTATTGCTGATAAAAAGATTGGCAACTTGGTGAATGTGTGTGTGAATCACTTGGCAACGAGTGCCAATTTGGTATTTTCATTATGACTAGCCCAGTAGCAGCTGCACAGTGACACGACAAACATTTGCATTGCACATAATACAAATTTATATGGCCTCATTATTGCATATACATACATTCATATATATGTATGTAAATGAACGGGCTGACAAGTGTAATTGATATATATATATATATATACAGAATTCTTTTTCCGTACAGTAACCATACAACCAGTTTTACGGTGCCGCCGTCCTAATGACACACAACTGATTAACGTGTACACACACACATACACACACACAGAACTGTCATCGTCACAGTCTAACTACGTCATACACGCGTGTGCCGGCCAGCGGTCAGTTCGTGAGTCCCGCAGTCGGGACTCGGTTATCCGCACATCGTGCACACACGCACAATTCGCAAACGCGCCTCTTTTTCTATTGTTTACCTTTTGTTCTCTCTCTCTCGCTCTCACTCTCGCCTTTGCCGATAAGCTTTGTCATGCACGCACTAATTTGTGCGTGCGCTGCGTGCTCTCGCTATCTCCCACTCTGCTGATCAGGCCGCAACGTGCGTTTGTTTGAGGTCAATAAACTTTTTGGAACAACTTTGTTATTTTTTCTTTCGCTCTTTCTCCCTCTACCGCGCTCTCTGGTGCGTGCGATGCGTGCGAATTTTACTCGCGACCTATTTCGACTTTTGCTGCTCGCATTTAAATTGTTTTTACGGATGTTCATTGTTTGACTCGAATGCATAAATAATTACGACTCGCATTTAAGCTTTTACTAAAAGGTTTTTTCTCCCATTTTCAGAAATGGCGGAAGGAAATGGCGAACTTTTAGATGACATTAACCAGAAAGCCGATGACCGTGGCGATGGCGAACGTACAGAGGATTATCCCAAGCTGCTGGAGTACGGTCTGGACAAGAAGGTACCTTAAAATTTAGGCCATATGTGGCAGCTTTTGGGTTATAATAATGGATCATATTATTTGCTGATTAGGTCGCCGGCAAACTGGATGAAATCTACAAAACTGGTAAACTTGCCCACGCCGAGCTGGATGAGCGCGCGCTGGACGCGCTCAAGGAGTTTCCCGTTGATGGTGCCTTGAATGTGCTTAGTCAGTTCCTCGAGTCAAATTTGGAGCATGTGTCAAATAAGTCTGCCTACTTGTGTGGGGTCATGAAAACCTATCGTCAAAAGAGTCGCGCCAGTCAGCAAGGTGTGCCCGCAACCGCCAGCTCCATACAGGTAAAGGGGCCGGATGAAGAGAAGATCAAAAAGATTCTAGAGCGTACTGGCTACACATTGGATGTGACCACAGGTATGAAAAAAATAAGCACAAACACTTTGTTGTTTGCATTTATTCATAATATATTTATTTCTGACCTTTGCAGGACAACGCAAATACGGCGGGCCGCCACCCAACTGGGAGGGCAACGTGCCCGGTAATGGCTGCGAAGTTTTCTGTGGCAAAATACCCAAGGATATGTTTGAGGACGAGCTAATACCGCTTTTCGAGAATTGCGGCACCATTTGGGACCTTAGACTCATGATGGACCCCATGACTGGTACAAATCGTGGCTACGCATTTGTCACATTCACAAATCGCGAGGCAGCCGTCAATGCTGTGCGACAGGTATTTAAGCCAACCTTCACTATATCAATCCATCCAACTGTCTCCCGGCCCCCCTCGACCCCAAACAGCAAAAACACTGTCCGTACATAAAGCGCTTTGTGTTCAAAGAAATATATACATAATCTACTACATACTTAACATATAATATATATTTATCAAAATTTCTGTATAGTAGGTAAAAAAAAAAAAGACAGTTCGTACCGATTCGAAAACGTTTTGGTCCTCAACACAGCCGCTTGCTCCCAAATTCTACAATCGAAAACTTTTAGTTTAAAGCACCAAAATTCGAACGATTTGATGATATATTCAACTTGAACAACAACAACTCCAAGAACTACAACCAGAATTATCCCGATTCGGCGCTTTGAGACAAAACAAACTAAAATGAAGAAAATCTTTATTGTTGCTACTTAAAAAAAAAAAATCGCCTGCCCTAATCTTTATCGCTAACGCTCTTACTCTTACGCTGTGCCTATTCTACATATCTATCTGTAACTTGTTATATATGCATGTCCTTTTATAAATTATATATAGATATATAATTTTGTTACGCGATTCGAAAGTACATTGCACTAGAGATCGATAGTGTTGATCGATAACCGAAAATTTGCAAATTTGAAAAGAGTTCTCTCTGCGATACAATAATAATTGAACTGCAAATATGTACAACCCGTCAGTTCCCCTCTTTATAGTTTTTAGTTTAATTTCTCTTATAATTTTTTAATTATTTCTTAGCCTTAAGTCAACTTGTAGCTCTAGCATATAAATCGTAGATTATTTATCAACTATCAATTTTGTAGGGGTACATTTTCATTGTCTGGTTTTATTGAAGAAGAAAAGCAGCCCGAGCATGTCCTTTACTACTATACTAACGATCCAGTCTTTAAGAACTCTGCAGAGCTTGCAATATAGTTAACCAAATCTAACAAATCTCTTACTAACTAAACCTTTTACATTAATATTTCAAATTGCCGCTACGCGAACAATCTCTGCAAAACATTTCAAAATTGGTAATGCAAAATTATAAAACATTATTTCTTAAATATTTTATCGTTTTGTTTTGATTCAAAAAGCCCCCCGACCAACCGCAACCCGAATCCCTAAACCACCCCAACCGAACGTACCCGAATTTAATTTTGTTCCCTTTTACAAAATTATTGCTGAGTTATTTGATTATGATTTCCATTTATTATTTATTATGATTAACAATTGAATTGGTATTAAAAATCGTTTTACCTTCCCACCCACAATTTAGCTCGATAATCACGAAATAAAACCCGGCAAGTGTCTGAAAATAAATATAAGCGTACCGAATCTGCGCCTTTTCGTAGGCAATATACCCAAGTCAAAAGGCAAAGATGAAATTTTAGAGGAATTTGGTAAACTTACAGGTAAATTGAAACGAAATTGAACTATTTAAAATTCTCAATTACGGAGCTCTATGAAAGGTCGCTTCATTTCTTTCTTTCCTAAGCGCCTTTTATAAAGCTCCAAAACAAAAATCGGCTTTTAAAACAAAAATCCAATTGGCTTTAACTGAATTGGCTAATTGCAGGCAGGCATAAATAAGGTTAGGTGTGTTAGCCTCAGGTTATTTTAATTTGATTATTATTTTATTTAATCATTTCTATGCTTTCATCATATCCAACAACATATCCATCCGCCATTCCAATGCCCATTCACATGCAGTACAAATTCATATCATTTCTCAAATCGAATTCGAAACTCTTTTCAAATGCGCTCGCACAGATCATGGATGCTTTTTAAGCAGCTCAAATCGTGTTTGGGTGGTACTCATACACCACCCACACGCCCACTTGCCACACCCCACATGCCACACCCACATCAACACACACAACCGCACTCGCAGACACGCCCATGCAATCCATTGGCAAATATCATTTGTCATTCGCTTACGATATTTATCTCTTATCAAACTTTATACTTATATACTATATTATATAATCTCCAGTCATTAACTTTGCGTACAAAAACCAAAATGGAAAAACATTAAGAAAATGTTTGAAAAACTACTCCAAAATTCTTAGGCAATGCATATTCTGTTCGTAAATGATTTTCAGTTGTACACCTTATATAGGAATAGGTTCCTTTCTATTTTCACGGTTATAAGGTCATCTACAATTGGTGTCAAAATTATATAATTGTGTGTGTATGTTATGCAATCAAAAGGTAAGATTGAGACCCCCCCAAAAATCGGCTACGGATGACTTTTGCAGCTGTACAATTTTTGACTGTTTCTCGGTAGTGAAAAGCAAATTCATTTATAACTCACCAACGAAATATAATAAATTTTTTAGCTAAAAACCTTATTAAATATTTCATAAATTCCTTTTTATTTGGCACGAATAATAAATAACTTACAAATTTTTAAGACTAGTCTAGATCTTACAAACACTCTACACTCGCTTCCCATCCACACACACACACACGCACACACACAGACACACAGAAACAACCATAATTTTTCATCCAAAAACCAAACCCGAAAAGTCAGTAATCAAAAAAAAAAGTCGCTGTACCGATGGAAACAAATTTTTTCATAGCAAATCAAAATTTTCTTTTGTTTTGTGTGAACTTTTGAACAATTGCAGCTAAATGATTTTGAAATTCGGAAAGGCAAAAAGATTGGTGTTACGATATCATTTAACAATCACCGGCTTTTTGTCGGCAATATACCTAAAAATAGAGATCGTGACGAATTAATTGAGGAATTTTCTAAACATGCACGTAAGTGATCCAAAACAAAACAAAAACAAAACCAAAAACAAACAACAAATATGAAATCAGCCAAACCAAAAACCCCTTCCAACCAAAATCTTTTTCAAAATCATCAAACACTCCCCCCACCACCTACCCCTCCAGCGAATTGGTAAATAAATGTACGTAAGGCATTCACTTTTTAGGGGCGATACTTGCAGACAGCCAGAATTGAAAACAACTGCAGCAGCAACAAAGTATTAATTGGATTTTTGTTTTGCAATTTTCGCTTTTAAAAAACAACTCTTTAAAATTATAACATCATGCCACACACACGATCCCATAAAAAAAAAAAAAGTAGCTCTGCAAAATTTCTACTGTAGAACTTTTGCCTGAGCTATCTATCTCTTTCCCCTATCTCTCTTTCTCTCTTTTAACTGCTAGAAAATACAACAAAAAATTAATTGTTACACTTCGATCATAATTTGTATTAATTTAATTCACTAAATGTGCCCAATTTGTTGACATTGAAAACCTGTAGCTAAACAATTTGCCAAAAACATTTTTGAATATTTTTGAAAACAATCCAAAAAGGCGTTACATTTTTTTTTTCTTTAGTGCAGATACATACATATATATATATATATATAAATATATGCTAAAACAAATCGCGCACACAAATAGCCCCATCAATTTAGTTAGGATAATACAATTCGTACAAATTCTGTTCTGGCCAATCATATAACTATGGTAATGACTGGAGAAAACACTTAATGTAAACGTGTTAATTCCCCACCCCAAAACTCATTTACTCGTAACTCTCTCTCTCTATCTCTCTGTCTGTCTCTATAAGCGCCCCAGCTGCAATTGAAGCAAATCGATTGATACTCAATTCAAATTCAAAATCAGTTTATTATACGTGTTTCTGTCTTTCTCAGTGTATACTATCTTGTTATTGTTTTTGTTTAATCCACCAAAGAAGTATCCAAGCTCAATGTGTGTGCTCTACAATAACTTCCATATTATTTTTACATTTTGCAATCTGTACAAAGCAAAAACAAACGAAATCCGTGTGCGTTGAAAAGAAATTAGTTTTTTTTTAATTTTTCTTCTAAGTGTCTTTCATTTCAAAATATTTAATGTTATACCCGCCTCTTTCTCTCTCTCTCTATCTGTCTCTATCTCTATATATATATACGTATATAACTATGCGAAACTCTCTTCATAATATATATATATATACACACCAAATACGTTTAGCTTAGCGCATTAATTTATTCAAAAATATTTGAAAAAAGTAAGGAAATTTGTTGGCATTGGTTTTCAAAAATCATCTGTATAAACGATAAATTTTAATATCGATACGATCAGGAATTTGCATTATTTTACAATGCACAAACGCCGCTTGTCATGTAAAATTTTGTGCATTTCTGTCTTTAATTTAATTATCTAATTCAATATTTCAAAGTACGGATCTTGATGCCGTCATTATCACACAGATACACCCACTCACAGACACACACACACACATGTACACATCCTAAAATGCTGTCAATACAAATACTTTTTTGTTGTATTTCTCTCTATATAAATATATAAATGTATGTGTGTGTGTGAAACAAATCATAATTATTTCGTAGTACTGCATTTGATAATTTCAATTAAAATTTTAATTTAATTTAATTAAATCTTAATACTCATTTAACGCATTCTCCTTTGTATTTATAAAAACAAAAAAACAATTGCAATATACATACAAATCTGTAGCTGGCCTCTACGAGGTAATCATCTACAGCTCGCCAGATGACAAGAAAAAGAACCGCGGTTTCTGTTTTCTCGAATACGATTCACACAAGGCGGCTTCATTGGCCAAACGAAGACTTGGCACTGGTAGAATTAAGGCGAGTATTTAACCCTACCCCCTCCCTCCCGAATCGTTTAAAACAATATCAAGAACTTCTGTGCTTTGCAGGTTTGGGGATGTGATATTATAGTCGATTGGGCTGATCCACAGGAGGAGCCGGATGAACAAACAATGTCCAAGGTTAAAGTGCTCTACGTGCGAAATCTGACGCAAGACGTTACAGAGGATAAACTGAAGGTAAGTTTGTATCGATTAGTGCCAATTTAATTCCAAGTTACTCACAAATTTCCCTTTAACAGGAACAATTCGAGCAATATGGCAAAGTGGAACGCGTTAAGAAGATTAAAGACTATGCCTTTATACATTTTGAGGATCGTGATAGCGCCGTCGAAGCTATGCGTGGCCTTAATGGCAAGGAGGTCGGCGCCTCGAATATTGAGGTAAATCCTATTTTAATCACATCCCTCTTTTGTTCATCTATATATGACATTTGTTTAATTGAACAGGTCTCACTCGCCAAACCACCATCGGACAAAAAGAAAAAGGAGGAAATTCTGCGCGCACGCGAACGACGCATGATGCAAATGATGCAAGCGCGTCCAGGAATCGTTGGGTAAGTGCTTCCAGCTGCCAGTTAACTACATTTTCGGGGCCTTGTACGAACGAACAAACGGGAAGCGCTACTCGTTGTTTACGCTTGAACCTAAACGAATCACTCGTTGGACAACGAGTTACTCATTGCACAACGAATCACTCGTTGATCTAGTGTAAGCACAAAGAGTCTTTCTTCGTACAGGGCTTATGTTCACATACATTTACAATAAACACAATACACCCTTACAATCCTTGTCTAGCACAACGCAAAATTGGCGCAAAATTCAAAAATCCATGCAAGATGTTTGCTTACAATTGGGCTAAGAAATTCGATTCAAATGAAAATTTTGAGAAATATGTTTGCTTTTCAAGTCGCCATTATCCACAATAAGGAATCCGAATGCGATTCATTTAATTTATTTAACTTTATATTTTCTTTCTTTTTATTGCCAATTGCGACTCGCCAATCGCCTCGTGATCAAATGGGCGATCTCAATTGTTTGTTGCTTCACTGCCTCCCATCACACGACAAACCAAAACCAAAACCAAAACCAAAACTATAATCAAAACTAAAACCCAACACTCTGACCATTGGTTGCCATGTAAAGATTTGAAACATTGTCTCCATACAGAAACCTGTCGCCGACACATCCCAGCATGATGTCCATAACGCCCATGCGCCTACCAGGGGCGCGTATGCCGCCGCTGCGCACACCGATGCCCCGTGAATACGGTAAGTTGGGCAAATACGCCAATAAGTGAACCAACCCAATCGATAATTCTCATCCAAGTATCAAAAATATGTATGTGTATATATATATATACTTAACGAGTGCGCACATGTCTGTGGCTCCCAAAATGAGAGAAAAACAGAAAACGAGAATGAAATCGCAGGATATTAAACGAATACGAATTATCTAACTAATGTTGTTAAACGAAATTTTGATTTAGTTTCGTAGTTTTTTTTTTTCGAATACCAACGAGCGTTACCAACGAGGTAACTTGTTTCTTAGGTTTAATGTTTAGTTAAATTTTAGATAAATGTATTGCTACAATGCCACAGCAAACTAACCCTGAACTAACAACTGAAGTTGTTTAACCATAACCATAGACAGAAACAATTAATTGGTCTGCAGCTTACAATATTTGGTTTTTCATTAAACACCTTTTATCGTTTTTATCGTCTCTCTCATTTTAGTTAGTTATTTTTAAGGTTAGAAAGCGCGCTGCCCACTAACTTGTACGCTCGTGCCCTCCCTACTAATACTAATACTACTACACACACACACACACACACACACTCACACTCACACTCACAATCACATTCACACACAACGGCCTAGCACCACATACCCTACACAGTCTAGTACAAAAGTATCCAGCTAGATTGAGACTAACCAATTGACAATTGGCATATAATTGAACCAATTTGCGCTCACACATAACCAAACTTTGATTTATAATTTTCACATTGTGCTAAACGTAAATAATTCATATCTGCAAGTTTTGTATGTCAATGCTCTCTTTCTCTCCTTTTTTTCTATCCATTTTCATAATTTGTTTGCATGTCCGTTTCTTTTCGATGTTGTCATTCGTTTCATTGTCTTTTCCATATTATCTTCGGCTCTCCTCCTACTAAGTACATCTTCAAGATGCTCTACTCTCTGACAACAACAACTATTAACTTACTAATACCACTACACATAGTTAGACTTAACCTCTAAACGTTGTTCATAGCTGTGTTTATCATTATTAAACGTTGCAATTGTGTTCTCTGTGTAGCGAATGTTAAGCACCCTGTATACTGTTTGATGTTTTATCACCGGTAAGTAATCCAAGTCATCAATCTACTTAAACCTACATTTGTATCGAATGTGTGTGTGTCAGCCACGCCCACCATATACTCCCCATCAGCGTTTAGATCGCGCCCAATTCGAGTTACAAATTGGTTAAACGCAGCTACCATAGGTTCTCGTTCTCCCACACCCTCACGCATACACACCCTCAAGCATACACACCCTCAAGCATACACACACTCAAGCGCACACACACACACTCACAATTTAACAGTCGAATTATTCCTTAATTAACCTTAAACCTTTAACCAAAATCCTATCCCAACCACATTGACCAAATTTCTAGACTACGATTATGATTATTTTGGCTATTCGGAATTTCGCCCCGGTTTTGGTGCTGATTCATACTATGATGATGTCTATCGCGCCTATGAGGGCGAATACAGCTATTATGATTATCCGAATAGCGCCAGCGGCAATGGAGCTGCCGGCGGCGTCGGCAGCGCTGCTGTTGCCATGTCCAACAATTCGGGGGGCGGCGCCGTCTCCCTAAACGCCTCGCAGCGTCCAAGATCCCAGCAAGGTGGCTCGGCCAATTCGCCGGTGATTATGGTGCGTGTTCTAAACCGTTTCATTATGTTCCTAGTCTCGCGAAATCACAGTTACAGTTGTTGCCAACAGATACAATTACAACACGCACTCAGAAATACAAATGATAAATCTAGTAGCTACTTACTGTAGAATTGTAATTCGTATATGTAGTTTGACTCGGGCTGACGGCTGAAATTGGCACTTTGAAAAGCTCAATGTAGTTGCAAAGTTCGATTGCTATAATAAAGCTCCTCATGTGCCATTTTCAGCTAGTGTCATGATTATTCGGTTCGTGCTTAAAGCTGAAATTGGCAGCTTGAAAAGCTGGATTACTATAATAAAGCTCCTCTTGTGCCATTTTCAGCTAATGCCGATTGTGTTTTTTTTTATTTTGATTTTAATGAGCTTTGCTTTCAGCATTTTTTTGTTTTTGCTTTTTAAGCCAAACATTAATTTTAACAAAAATTTTTATATTTTCATTTACACAAATCCAAATTTGCATGTTAAATGCTGCCAACTGCACACGACCCACAACAATTAACACAGCGCAGCACATCATTCCACACACACACACCACCAACACCACCAACACCACCACCACCACCCACTACAGCTCACCGACCCTCACAAAATCTTTTGGCCAACATTTGAGCAATGGAAACAAATTTATGATTTATTATGCTACGCTTTGCTTTATGCCATGGAAACTAACAGACCAAAACCAAATTGAATTGTTACACCTTGCGCTTTATGCTTTTATTAAACTTTGCCTTAATTGCATTAAATGCTTTTTATTGCTATGCTTTTTTTAATTTTATTTTGTTAATAATTATCATTTATCCACCGTGCTTCTTAAATTTTGTTAAATTTATTTAGATTTTAAGTTTAAATGCTTTTTAGTTACAACAAAAAAAAACATAGCATACTTTTAAGAAACGCCCATTGCTTTAGTTAAATGCTTTAATTATTTTTCAATTGTGTACGAAAAATTTAGTAAATTATTTGATATTGTGTCAATCGCAAGCAACAGAAAGCTATACAACAAAAGTTCTACATAAATTGAGCTGAAGCTCGTTTTGAATTCTTGCTCTGTGATTTGTTAAGTACTAAATTACATATATTAAAAGACAGTAAAGTTTGCATTTGTTGCTCAAACCGAGCACATTTAGTATACACCAAAGACAATACACACAAATATATATATTAGCATTTTTTTCTCAATCAGACGTAAATTTCATACATACATATTTACTACATATAAACATAAATATCTACATACTTATATTATTGTATGTAAATACAAGAATCTAACGCGTTTATTTCGATTTTTCTTTTCTTTCTTTTCTTTTAATATATGTTCTTGTTATACTATTTATATATATATATATATATTTTACAATATATATATACAATTAAATCATTTGTTTTTCGGTAACAAAAAATTTTCTAAACTTTGCAAACCAAAACAAAACAAAAATTATATATATGTTCGTCAAATCCAAACAAAATTCCAAAAAAAAAATATATATCCATAAATTAATGCAACCAAACAACCAACGACCAATCATAACCAAAAATCTATCGACAAACTTTTTGATTCAAAAACCAACCAAAAAAAAAATTATTGTATAAAAACCCAAAATCCCCGCTATTCAATTTTTGCCCAACCGTCTTTTTCTCTCTAAAAAACGAATTTCGAAATTTGCAACTGCATTCGACAACTAAATTCCAAATCCAAATCCAAATGTATTTTATTCGCTTAATTTAATTTCATTTGAAATGACCAAATTTGACAATTATCTTGGCGATCCATATATATTATATATATCTTACACACAATTTATATTATGTAAAAAAAAATACTGTTAAACTGCAAAAATTCGAAATCGAACCAAAAAACAAATCAAAACCAACGCTCGAATACCTGGAATATCTGAATATGGAATCATATGGAATGCCTCGCTCTGGAATATAAATATAATATATCGAATCGAAATACACCACACAACACAACACACACACACACACACGCAAACACGAAATGCACACTATCACACATACACAACCACACACTACAACATGCATGCATGCCATGGTGATGATGATGATGATGGTGATGATGATGATGATGATCATGATGATGATGATGATCATGACTAGGGGGCTGGCCGTGGGCATGGAATCACAGTCCCGCGTGGCCGAGCCGTTGGCCAACGTGGCAGCATCAGTCGTCTGGGGGCCCAACAAGCGCCACAGGCGGCGCCAGCGGTGGCGGCGGTGGGACAGGCGGCGGCGGCTCATCGGGGGGCGGCCACCGTTCAGGGGGCGCCGGCAGCAACCGGGGGGGTCCGTGGGGTGGCACCAATGCGTCCCAGCGCTCCTGGCACCCAGCACGTCAAGCCGCTACAAAATTTACCAGGTGAGCTCAACAACCACAACAACAAAAAACAACAGCAACAAAACAAAACAAAACAAAACAACCACCAAACCCAAAGTCCAAACATGCTCAAAACAACAACGTTCAAATGCAACAACTGCAACAACTGCAGCAGCAGCAGCAGCAACAACCACCGACACGAACACCATCAAACAGCAACAACAGCAACAACCTCAAAATGCATAACAATACAAATTCATATAAATTAATAAGTAAAGCCAAGTAAAATGCTACTTCCAGCCCACACACACACCAACACTCACACACACCAACACTCACACACACACACACACACATATATCGTACAAACCGACGGTCTTATGTGGTCTGAACCACCCGAAAAGCTTGTTATGGGAGCATCGTCAGGTTCACTTAAATGTCGTGTTTTTTACTTTTATTAATATTCCTTTTTCCTTTTGCATTTTGTAAACGTGTTTCAATGTTGTAAATTTTTTGTCAACAAACTTTGCCAATTCATTAATGTTTTCTCTTTATATATTTATCTTTTAAATGTCCATATATATATATATATATTTAAATTATAAATATATTTTCTTACTGTAGTTTTTGCCTCCTGCTGCTTTTGGATTTTGGCCACGATCAATTTTCATTTTGAATATCATTTCGACAGCGCTCAAATGTATGCTACAGTTCTTGCATGCTCCTAGTTCGGGCTTCTTGCCAAAAGCAGCAAGCAGCTCACACACACACACACACACACACACACACACTACATACACACACATTCACACGCACATATGTATATGGAAAGCCACTGTAACAAATGATATGAATGCATATATATGTTTATGTACATATGTATGTAACTTGCTGTGTAAACGTTTATGAATCGATTAGTATTTAAATATCACCCTAACAATGCCCGCCAAGACCACCCCCCCCCCTCTCTCTCCCACTCCCCTGCTACTACAACTTCTGGTAGATAATGTTGTCAAATGTCAGTGGAGAGCTGAAGATATACCCTTTTCTCGCCCCTTAGAAGCAGCTACCCGACAATAAACAAATTTGACGTACGTGTATATAATTTTTTTTTCACTTTTTGGTTACATAAATCTATAAACAAATATCTGATGCGTTGGCACAATAAATATATTTTTCTAAATTTGGAGTATAATATAAATGTATTTGTCATATTAAATAAATAAGTTCATGCTTTGCTAATCATTTTATTTAGCAAAAACCGTTCAATATTAGTAACCATATCCTCTACACACATATAACATAAATATATAAAATATATAAATAAATAACAACACACCTGTACATTTATGTTTTTATTTGGTTAAATAATTGTATATATACTCTTTTTTGTACACCAAATACTAATCGATTCGTGTTGACTATACACACAAACACTTACACTTAATATAATATGATTTGTTATAAATATAATTACGGCTACATATACATATACATTTATATATATATATATATATATCTATAAACGTGCCCCAATGTTGCACGCTTTTGCCGCAAGCTCTATTAATATTGGCCAAAGCAAAAGCGTGGCACACACTACAAATATATATATAAAATCAACATCTTTAGTTAATTGTACTCTTTTACACGCTTTACTTATGTACGCCCACATTTTGTATTGTCCACACACATTTCGTAAGCTTTTTTTCTTCCTTAAATAGAGAACGGCTTTATTTAATCGTATATATATATATATTTATATATGTACACACCACACTCGAAATTGTAAAAGACAATAGATAGCAAAAAAACCAACTAAAATCTGTTTCTAGCTGGATCTGCACTCAAGACTTACATGGAGGGCAACTAAGCGTAGCTCCTCGGTCGTCAGTTCCGTGCGCAGCGACGCGAGTCGTTCGCCGAGCAAGAAACTGAAGCGTCAGAGCTCCTCGAGTAACAAAATTAAATCACACAAATCCAAGAAGCATTCACGCAAGTCCAAGTCATCTCGTACCGAAAAGAAAGAAAAAAAGAGGAGCTCTAACTAAAAAAACAAAACAAAAAAAAAATAAGACGAATTATAATACACAATCAACCAACACGTACAAGCTAATATGCCTGATTTTGCGAAATCCTTATTCGAGAAACACACGCACAAAACTCTCTCTTCCCCAATAATTTTTTTTTCTAAAAGGCAGATCAGTTCAATTTTTAAACGACAAAGATATCGTTATATCAAAATCGAAGCAATATTTACGCAAAATTCCAAATTAACAGGCGAACAAGACACAGCGAATTGTGTACAAGATACAGCGCTCCATTCAAAGAAAGCAAAAAGGAAAAGGCCAAACGACTTAATGAAAAACATACTTTGTCCCCCCACCACCACCACCACCCACCCCCACCCCTTCACACACTTAATTCTTACATGTTGCTTAAAAGGCGATAATATCATGTACAATGTTTTATCTTACACGTGCACCAACACACACACACACTCACACTCACACAGCATAATCGCTCACACACACACACACAAAACACACACTCACGCACACTCATACATCTGTGTCATGTTTGTGTACAAATAACAAGTCCCCGACGTTTATGTCCAATTAATAAGATTTTTCTACATTTTGTTGTGTAATTGTACGCAGAAAACAAAAAAAAAAAAACAAATTAAATGAGCTACCTAATAAAAAATCGAAAAATCTGTGTGTGTATATTACTATATTTTATTTATTAACAAAACGAAAAAAGTTATAAAAAATAACTAAATATAAAACCATATAAACCCTCTGTTCAACCATAGACCAGCAAAAAAAAAAACGAAAAAAAAATATCCAAAATGAAAACATGAAATAATATGAAAGAACTCTGTTCCATTTGTAGTATTAACAACCAATTTTAACTCTCTCTTTTTTCTCTTTTTAAATCCGGTCCACACCCAAAACACGACCACGCGTGCATATGAAAAACAACACACATGCACACTCAAACCACACACACACACACACACACACTCACTCACACACACACACACACCAACGAACGCCATATGCATTCCTGTTGACGAACTGCAGTAGTCGGTAAACGTAAGTTCGATGGAGGTCACCAAAATCCGGCAGATGTTAAGCGACGTTACCAGAGCGGTTTAATAGGAAATGGCGGCAGTTGGGGCAGTTTACCGCTACCACAGCAACCCTTAGGCACAAATGGTGAACAGTGGTATATGGATACGTTTTCGGCATGGAGTTAAAAAATAAACCACAAATAACAGCAGCTACAGTTAATATATGCAAAACCACACGCGGAATTAAGAAGGCACACCAACAATAACAACAGCTACAGCAAAACACTCGGCACATAAATACACATGCATATGTATACATATATATATATATATATATGTGTGTGTATATGTATCTTTTTATCTTTTCCAACTCTACAACGAGCGTAGCTAAAACTTAAAAAAGCAATAAATCCTATATAACAAAAATGAATTAAGAAAATTATAATTAATTGGGCTTAATATTATAACCCTTTAAGAAAACGTTTTTTTTCCGTTGTGTTTAGATATTGCTTTGCACATCTCACTCTCTCTCTCTCTCTCTATAAACCCGAAGGAAATAATTAATATAAACATAGCATATATATCTATAGACTTGCCGCAGCATTTTAGCAAACATATTTCGTTCAACTTGATAATGATATAAATAATAATTAGAGCATTATGCTAAACATATTTTAAAGGCAAAAGAATGAAGAAATCATGTAAAATCCACTTTTTAAAATTCGAGAACTGCATACGTTTTTAACTTGAAATCGAAACAATAATTGAGCATATAAAAACAAAATGAGCAAAAAATAACTACGCTATAATCTATTTATATCGGTATATAGTGCAGTTAGGCTCGTATTGATTTTTAAAACATAAGAAACTTTTTTATACATAACGCGAAAACCAAATTGAAAAACAAACTAATATTATATATTAACATTTTACTACTATTTGTATACAAAACGAATCAAACGGCAAATTAAATAGGAACCTAATTGTATGACAAATTGCACGTTAATAAGAACAACAACAACAACAACAATGAGTAAACACATAAAAGAAATTTCCTTCAAATGTAAATAAAAATGAAAAAAAGAAAAAGAAATTTAAAAATTACATAAAATTAAAGCTCTAAAAATTGATAAAAATTAATCAAATTGATAAAGTAATTCAGAAGCAAAGCTTAATGAAGAAACATTGACTGAAATTATAAAAAACAAACAAATGCAAAAACAAAATATGATAAATAAAATATTAAATAGTTTGGCGTTGAGAGTTAAGAAAACTAAAAATTAGAGCGCAGCAGCAAGTGGCATTATTATATAATGTCTGGCGCTGCACGTTGGCAAGACTTTCTGATTAAATTGAACTATTTTAGGTAACTTGAAATCAATTAAAACCAGCAACAAATAAATTATGTAGAGCTAAGAAATTTGCACAAAACAAAAAAACGAAAAGAAAAATAATTAAAAAATATACACGCAAAAGATACAAGATACAGCTAAAGCTACAGCTACAGATACAAAACGCAGCAGTCACAAGAACTGAATAGCTGCTATCGAGAAGCAACGAATTAGTAGGACACACACAACACACACACACACACACACATACACACATACACAGACATCACAGTTTAACAAACAATTAATACAATTAATTAGGAACTATAAATTTTACAAGCGATAATATTATAGGGAATTTAATAACGGTAAATAAGCAAGTAAACATTAATATATACGAAAACAAATAAAATCAAAGAAATTAAATTACGAAATCAATTAGCCAACGCGTCTAGCAGCAGCCCTCAAAGATTTAACTTACATTAAAAAAAAAAAAAAACATTTAACATCTAAAAGTAAAACGAAACTTCCAAGTTATATACACAACTTTTCCTAAATATTATTTTTGGTTTTTGTCCTTAAAAGTTGACATTCTTAGAGTGCTGTCACAGATTCATAGCAAAATCGAAACGTATAAACACACATATATTTAGCAAACTCTATAATAATATATAACTAAGCATTATTTAACTGTAACTCCATGCCTCCTAGACGACAAACATCAATACGAAATGAAATATGAGAACAAAAGATACTTTTCGTTAAAACATTTGTTAAAAAAATTATGTAAAATTTTATTTTTCCTTTCGGTCTATTCCAATCGATATTTTTTTTTTGCTAGATCTCAAGTAAAACAAAAAGTTAAGTAAATAATAACAAAAATGTATAAACAATTAAATTAGTTATAATCAAATAACAAGCAAAACTTCCAATTTTAAACTCAAGAACTCAAGATGAAGAAGATTGAAGATGATGTTTGAAAATGTAGGCGTGAGTTTTTTAAAGCGTATCTATAAACATTGTTCAGCAAGCGCCTAAACGGAATATATGATATTTTAAAATTTAATCACAACACACACACACACAGCTCCAGATACAGATACAGATAGACACAGACACCAAGCAGTTGCCTAAAGTTAAATATATACGAAGAGCAAAAAATACTTTTAAACTTGCGCAAAACAAAACAAATTGAGAAAAAAAAAACAAACAAACAAAACAAATTTGCAACACCAGCAAAGAACTTTAAAACATAATAATAATAATAATACATTATCAAACAACAATAAGAACATTTACTACAAATTCTAAATGACCATAGTTAAGCTTAACTTTAGTAACACACTCACACTCTCACACACTCAACACACAGATAAACGTATACCCTAATATTTAAAAGTACACCCCTGCAACAGAGTAAACTGCAGCCGCAGCAGCCGCAGCAAAGTGTGCGCCATTTTCTAACTAAATAAATCTAAACATTGAGAAATATTATAAAAAAAAAAAAACGAAAAAAAAAAACAATCACAAATATTTAACCAATTTGTTGTACTAAGTTTCGTCGTGCACATTTTTTTTTTCCTTATTTTGTGTCTAATTTACATCAAAGAATATTATTTTTATCCATTTCTATTTTTTTTGTTTAACACACACAAACAAAGCCGCGCATTTTTTCTTTTGCATGTTAAACAATTTTGTTTATGCCTTTAAAAAAAGAAAGATAACGAAATTTTGGAAATTTTTGGTGACTTTGAAACTTGAACCCATTTTCAATTGCAAATATACATATGTATACATATAACTAATGATAAAGTTTTGTTTAATTTGATGCTGTACTGATTTTATATTGTTTTAAATTTGTAATTTTAATTATAAGTCTTAATTGTTAATGTGTTTTAATTGTAAACTACAAAACAAATTGGCAAAACCTGTTACACAATCCGTTAAAGTTTTCACTTTGGTTACCAACGAAAAACAACAAAAATTAAAAAAAAAAAAAAAAATTAAATACAATACAAGACTCATTTGAATTATGTGCCGCTGCTGCCTTTGCAGTCATATAATTGTTTTCAAATCCCCCAAATCCCCCCCCCCCCCCCTTATTTTTGGAAGGCCCAAAATTTGTTGTTTCGAAAACCCCGCCCCCCCTGCCCTTTATATTTTTGTGTTAAATATGTATTGTAATTTGTAATTTTGTTTAATTTTTTTCGGGAAAGCAAAAACGTTTGGCAAAATTAGTTTTTAATTTGAATATTTAGTTTTGTTTGTGCGCTTAAGTTTTCAATATTATGTTATATAAATAAATATATATATAAACAAATATATAATAAACTATATGAATATTAATTTTTAGCAAAATATTTTTACGTATAAACTTAAAGCCCTAATGTTAAAAATATTTACCGAACTAATTTGTTTAGCTGTTTAATTGGTTTTAATTTTCAACATTTTTGTGTATCGTAAAGCAAGCATATTTTCGACCTTTGACCCAGCTCTAATATACTTACATAATATCCAACAATAATAACTGTATACGTGTGTAAATTGAATTTCAACAAATAAATCGTACAACACAAACAAAATATAACAACATTAAATAAATAAAGCTATAAACAAAAATTGCAAAAGGCGCGTGGAAACTGAGCAAAAAGAAAATAAATTAATTTCAAAAAAATGTAGAAAACAACAAAGCAAAACAAAAATAAACAACAACAACAAAAACTTTACATGAATTGTGATGATGCAAAGGCAAGATTTAATCATAATTACTAAATCTATATATACATACATATATATAAAATATATCTTTCTCTATAAAAATAAAAAAAGCATATATATATATATATATATATATATATGTGTGAGTACATAGTGTATATGTAGATGTAGGAGTGTATAATCTAACTTTACTTTTAAACAGACTGCGTACGTATTAAAAATTTTTAAAATTAATTTGTGTAAAATGTTTTAAGTTTTGAAAAATTGGCAAATAAAGAAAACAATAAAAATTAATAAATCAAAAAAAAAACACGCTTGCATATTGAAATATACCAACAGTACGTGAGAGTGCAAAAATCTTTTCCAAATTAATCCAATTTATTTTTGAATTTTTCAGCAAAACTCAAATTTAATTTTGGTATTTGAAAGTATATTTCAAGATCCCATCAAATTGGCTAAATCGCAGCTGTTTAGAATGCAGGGAGTTTCCTGCCAGCCGGAAAATCCACAACGGGATTTGCACAAAGAATTAGAACCCGTCAGTTTCCAGTGTCAGTTTTTTTACACAAATACACGTATGCTTTCAATCAGGACAATATTTGTTATAATGAATTGTCGAAAATGTTTACACTTAGAGAATATTTTGTTTTAGCATTGTTTTTACCAGCGGCACAATTACGCGATTAATTTTTATTTACAACACAATATGAAACGAATTCTTTTTTTATATGTATACTTATAGTTTGTGTGTGTTTTTATATTTTTTTTTATAGAAATTGTAATTGTTTTTAAAAGAAAATCGTTTTATATATATTACTAAACCTTGAAACCAGCATCACAATACACTTGCATACATGTCACACGTATGAAGGACTTATATAAACCGTAAACGTAACGTCGCCAATTATTAAACAAAAGTCGAATAAGAGAGAAACGAATAGAACTAAAGTTAATGATCATTTCAAGAACATTCAGAAATGTAGGAGAAACAGCGAAAGGAAGCAACAACTTTTACGTCATACAAAACAATTATTGTTAACGAAGAAAATAAAAGTGAGAAGCATTATTGTACTAAAATATTTGATATACATACATTTGTTATTATTTGTAATACAAAAATTAAATAAAATTGCATCCAGATAATAAATAAAAAATAAAAAAATTAAATAAACAATGCAAAACAAGACTTGTGCTCACTTCACATTCAGGCGTAACTTATACATTTAGAGGCCGATAAAATACAACACTTTCATTCTATATAATAAGAGTATATATATATATTTGTCATGTTTTCAAGATTACAAGCACATTTAAAAGCATTTACTGCGCGAATTTGATTTGCTGCGACTATTGGTGCTGCGCCGCGTAGAACTATCCACACTTCTGCTAGCCAAATCATCGTCCATAACAGTTTCATCAACACTGGCATCATCCTCGGGTATTTCCTCATCGCTATTCGTCTCGTTGATAAGAGATCCCCTGGGCGTTACAATTGCATCGCCATGCAGATCCTTGTTGTCCAAAATGCTGATGTGGAAAGCGGCGTGGCACTTGTTGGCCGCCAGCAAGGCTTTCATTCGAAACACTAGTGTCTCCAGTGTTTCACGCAGGCTTGGTATGTAGCTTATGATGGCAGTGTTCTTTATGGACTTTGAATGACAGCACAGGTTGTGCAAAAACTTTGTCACATTCTGCAGTTCGCGAAGGAACTTGGTAAGCCGTTCGGGACTGTCGCGCACTATAGTCTCAAGGATAGACAGACCATGTTGTAGAAGCAGCTTCAGGAACAGCTGTGAGTGCTTCAAAAACAAGGCAAAGTTACGTGGCTGCTCCACTTTCTTGACGATCTCCAAAAGGCCATTTAGTAGACATATAGTTGACTCCCAAAGTTTAAACCGATCACCTTCGGTGTAGCCGCTGCACTGGGCGTTCAGTGTGCTAATGAGAATCTCGCACAAGCCACGAAACAGCAAAGGAAAGTTGGCCCTGTAAAACCCGATAAATGAATTTTCTGGATAAATGGATTTAATTGATTTAACTTACTTTTTGATATTGGGAATCGATTCTAAAGCCATATCTTTTTTATTTAGAAGCAGGCACTCATCCCTAAGTGCGAGCAAAATATCCTTTTGCCGTTCAAAGGGTGAATCCTTAAGAAAACCTTTAATTAGCTCGTCAAGGTGAATGTTACACTGTGCGCCCTTCTCTACACTACCCGAGTAGTGGTACCACTTACGTCGCAGCATATTGGTGCAAAATTTGCCTAAAAAGGCAACAAGTTCAGAAAATCGCATTGAGAACAATAATTAGAACTTACGCATATCTTCGCCCTGCTGAACACTGCGCTGGGCTGCATTTTCGCCGGAGCTGCTCAACTTCCGCAAGCTGCGCAACAAGTGCTGGAGCTGCACAGCTGTACCAAGAACCAACACTAATTTCTCATATTTAAGGAAGTAATCAAAAATCTGTGAGGCAATGCGCCCTAGGGCTGGCTTTTTGGCTGTCTTCCGTTGACCAGGTGGCAGCAGGTCACTTAAAGATGCTGCCGGGACAAGAATCTATCAATTATATGGACTTGTTAATAGGTATGTTCTACTTACACTGGAGCAGCTCTGTCTTAGACTTGTCACTCCATTCGTTCCATGAGAAATACAATGCAAACAATTGAATGCACAGACCAAAGCATGTTTTTACATAGTTGAAACGATCCTTGAACAGATCCAAATTACTGTGCACATTATTGACCCTTTCCAGTTCCTCATCAATGTGCGCTCCCAGAGTGATTAAACGCATATTGATCTCGCCAAGACATTTCTGTAAATCTGATAAAAAATGTTCCGGCTTAGCTACATGCGACCTTAAGGAATCCGCTTCATTTACATCCTGGTGCCCATTGATAATAGTGTCCAATTTATGCACCAAATCTGTGAGTATAAAGCGCAATTCTAGCAAACCCAAATGAGTGCCCACTTCATCCGCTTCCAGTGGATAGTTCAGGCTAAAGGGTTGCTCTTTCAGCAACACTATTATGCCCACATCAAGCTGCCTAAACCGCTCCATGGGTCCATATAATTGTTCAAAATTGATTTTGCATTTAATGGACTTGCACGGACCCAACTTGACGCTCAAATCGATCAGTTTTGATTGGTCCATGCTCTGGGGCTCCTCTGTAATCGTTTCGTTATTAATTGCCTTGGCCTTGCTTGTGGCAGGCCTTTTGTCGCGCACAACTTGCTGTGTAGCGGATTGTTTGGGATGGCTTAGGAACTGGCATGGCGGTGGCGCAAAACCAATGGGCGCATGCGTTAAAAGCGGCTTTAGCCTTTGCTCTGTGCAAATCAAATCGGAGAGACGCTTTAAAACACGCTTGCGTGTAGCCTCATCCTTCTGGGAAGCAAAGGCACAAGTCGTAACGCGCATCCAGTTGATCGTGTGAAAGTAAATACACAAAATACGTTTTTGCAATTCCTCATCATAATTGTCAAAGATGGCCAAATAATTGGGATCATCAAAAAACGAGGGCAGCACAATGGCACAACCTTGCAGTGCATTTACCAACTCCAGACTGTACTGATAGCGTTGATTGTGCAACACGCTGACCAGGTGAAAGAGTGGAGCAAGCACATATACCGAGTCACAGGCACTGAAAAGGTAACAGCTGTAGTGTGTACAGATGTTAAAGTATATACGTGTACTTGAACTCACTTGCCATTTGGACTCAAAACCAGTTCAGATATATTAATGCCAATATCGAGTACAGCTGCTTCAGTATTTACATTTGTATCGTCTAACTCATTGATGTTCTTCTGACACTCTAGCCTTATGCCTCTGCAAGAACGTACTTTTATGGTAAGTGGAAATGGTAGTCCTAATAAATGGGCTTACTTGACTGTGTTCGGCTGATGATCATTCACAAAGCTCTGCTGAAAGCGATAGGTCATCAGCTCACAGAGCCACATCAGAAACTGATTATCCAGCATATAAATCGACTCTTGGTTGTAGTAGCGGACATTCAAAACACTGGCCAACTCATCGTAAAACAATGCCAGCAATTCAGGAGAGTTGCATATAGCTGACTGGGTGAGCACTGAATGTTAAAAAGAATTTAATCACTTGATATTCATGAACTAACTTTATATATTTACTTATCAGGTTAGCTGCCTGCTTGCTGCGTCCATCTGGCAACGAGGTAATGCTGTCGACGCTGGTTTGCAAATCCTCGTTGTTCATAAGCAACGTTTCAATACGTGCAATGGCATCAATCAGCTGCACGCAGCCAATGATGCCCTGCCTCTTGACATATTCGGTGCGATTGATTTGCTGCTTCTTTACTACCATTTCGATTTGATCCTGCAGCGGCGCACACTCTGGCAATTTGGGTTCGGGGAATGCAACGTGACACAGCAAGTCCATGGCAAGGCGTGTTTGGGGTAGCGTCAAATCGCTGAGGCGATCGAGCAACGGCATTAACAACATGGCACAGTTCTGCACGTGCTTAGGATTCTTCCGCTGCAGTTCGCGCAGTAATGTCAACGTGGTGGTCACATGCTGTGCAGATTTGTCAAAGGTTAGCTCCAACAGTTTCTTAAGTATGCTTTTTTGTATCGAGTTGCAGATTTTAAAGAGTACACTGTGCCAAATAGACATACGGTTAATGATGAGTAAGGACATACATCCAATGGAACCCACCTGTATGCAGCTTTGGCAAAATCAGCAACAATGCGATTCTTTTCACGCATAAAGTCATGGAGTAGGTGCATCAGGGTGCCAATATGTTGCTCCAATATATGCGGAAAGTGCGTTTTTATTTCATCCAATATGTTTACTGTGATGTGCTCTAGTTTAATGCGTCGGCGAAACTGCAAAATTACAAAAAAAGGAACATTAGTGAAAATAAGATAATGCCTGGATAGCACCTACCAGATTTTCAATAAATAATGTGTTATCCTCGTTGATGTGTATGAGCAGCAACAGCATTATAAAATCAAACGATCTGCAAAGTGGTTAGCGAACAGTACAAATGGATAATCATATATATCACTTATAGTTAAAGCTCACTTAAATTCGCTGGCAGGCAAACCGCTGATGGTACGCTGCCACATTTGATAAAATCGCTTGGAGCGCTTAAGACCCTGCTGCAGAAAACCAAAAAGCTCCAATTGTGATTGCTTATTGTTGGCAGCAGGCGTGCTAATCACTGGAGAGTTTTCTTTTTGCGATCTATGACGCCAGGTAAAGATTTCGCGCAGTGTGGAGACCAGCTGAAAAATGCGAACAATTATTTTAATTATAATTAACAACGAAAAAAAAGAGTTATTATAGGAATGCCAAAAATACAATACTCTTGCGGATATCGAACGTTTCAATTGGAAGTATATGATATAAGAGTAATATTTGAACTAATTCTAGGAAATTGTAATCCTTGCAATTGCTAAGCTTGGTGTAGATATTCCTAACAACAAAACGTTTATCATAAGGGAGGAGCATAATGGAGCTCGTTATATGTGAGTTTGTTCAGAAATCGTGAACAAACAAGTTTCCACAAATGTTCAAATAATGGCAGCTATGTAAGTGGTCTGAACCGACCCAGTTCTATATATGTACTGCCTACAGTAAAAAGGTGTGTCTATGCCAAATTTAATCAATATAGGTTTTAAATTGAAAGAATAGGTTGCAGGATCATGGCAATAAATACTCGACTATTGATATTGATGCTACACATTTCCAGTTGTCTCTGGCGCAAAAAAATGTATCTATTGTATTTTACCTCACGCACGATAACGTCTGTGTCCTGATTGAGACTATTGAGCAAGATGCGTATGAGATGCGGCAGAGTCTACAAAGAATTGATTTATAAAAATTTGTTAATTAGTGCACAATTTATTTAAATTGTGAGCTTACCACATTCGAGCAACTGTTTTCGTCCTTGATGAACTCAAGGATACGTTCGCGAAGTTTCCCCTGTGTCCTAGCGCTAAGCGTCAAATTGCTTAACATTTGTAGTGTGGTCAATTGAAAAAGATCTTTGCTGCTCGAATAATTAATGCTAGATGGGACAGACAGACAACAGACAACAGTTACAGAGCTCTACGTATAAGTTCACTTAATGACATACGTGAGCAGCTCGACAAAATCGTCGTGTTTACTACCATCCAGCAAATACTCAGCGCTGCTAATGATATCCAACTTGGACGGCTCTGAGGCGTTGTTGAAGATGCGTTCAATGTGTGCATAAATCTGATCACTATGCGACAGCGTTAAGTACCGCAATTGGGCAAGCATCAGTGGCAGCAATGGCAGGCAACCCGGCACCGTTTGTACTCGCTCCAACTTGGCAATCTCCTCGATTTTGTTGAAAAGCACCTCCAGGCAGGGCTCGCGTAGAAAGTCAATCATCAGAAAGTTGATAAACATGCTGTTCTGTGATTGATACACCTGCTCTTCTCCAGCAGTGTCTATGGTGCAGCCACTAAGCAGTTTCTGGGCTAGCTTCGATTTTGGTGCAAGCGCTACGTTTAGACCCGCTTTAAAGGTTTCAATATTTTCGGGATATTTTGGAGATCGCACTAATATGTCACGTAGCTTAGAGACAATAGCAATGTGATCGCAGGACAGCACAAATGTATCCGCCTGGTCCAGTTGCACACCAGCGTTCAGGAGCACCATCTCAAAGAAGCTATTTGGCTGGCGGGAACTGTTAATCCTGGACGATGACTGGGTGCGACCCAATGTAGCGGCCAATGCTAGGCTGTGTTGAGACAGGAAACGTTGCGTTTGCTCCTGGGAAGCTGGTATATTCTCTTCCTCACTTTCGCCAGTCGATGTCTCGATTGTAGCATCTGTTTTTTGGGCAGATGGAACGCGCTTCAAAGACAACAACAATTTTGCTTATGATCTCAGACACAGCAGATACTGTGATCACTTACCGGTATTTTAATTGTTGCATTCTCATCAATTGTATTTAGTCCTAATTGAGCATTGGTGCGTTTCTTAAATTTTCGATACATAATGGATAATTCGGGCAATTTGACGTGTTTAATTACAAAATTTAAAGAAAAATACTTTTAAAATGAAATTCGCCGGTGCGCCAGGTACAGCAATAAAATATCGATAGCTTTATATCGATTCAATATTTCTGATAGCCGTAAAACATTTTCTGTTAATTAACATTTCTGTTAAACTGGCCTCAGTGCTATAAAATTTCGATGTTAATCGTAGAGGAGTATCGTTAGAGTAAGTTTCAAAATAAAAAAAACTCAGAGTTTTAAAAATTAAACGAGATACTTACTTTTTTTATACTAAGAAACATTAAGCAATATGTATTTCTTTCAAAAAACAATAAAAATTCAAAACTTTAGTAACTTCACTTTTTATTGAATATATAAGGATTAACCGTACAGTTGCTAAATCTATTATTGTTTATATATGTTTTAAATAAATATTGGTGTACGTTTGATACAAAGCATCTTTGCTACATATGTGTGTATATGATCGTTGGATATAAATTTTTAAACGTGCAAATATTGCAATTAACTATTTGTGAATCTAATGGAAAAATTCCATATAATACTATAAATGTTTGATTATAAACGTGATTGTAAATTTAAAGCCATTTTTCTTGAGTCAAATGTTCAATTTGCTTAACGTTAACTTGTCAACTTATTCATATAATGGCATTACCTAATTATATATATATTAAAAGTGCAATAAACTCTAACATGGATAATAATATGAGTATGAATTCTAAAAAGGAAGTACAAAATGTTTTTATGTGATTATGTCAGCAATTGACTTATGTACGCAGAGTATTTCTGCTTTGTTCTATATATAGAAAATCACTAATTTGGCTTCGGTTAGTATTGCTATATAATTAAGTATTGTTTGATGTTTATGATCACATCGATGCAGTCCATATCGGATAATATGCCTTTCAACATCTGATTTTGTGTCGTTCTATAACTCATTCTCAATTTTCTCAATCCAAACTGTAATTGTATCTGTTGCTTCGTTGTTTTTTTTTTTAAATATAAAATTATTGCTTTTTCGCACGACGTCTTTTATAGCCAGTCATTTGCCTCAATAATTGCGAGTTCTCATCATCCATGTCCAAATTGGGCTCCCAGAGGCGAAGTCTTTTTGGTATGTATATCAGACCCAGTAGAGTAATTGCTGTAGATGGATATTGGAACGATTAATTGTGATATATGCATTTCTTATAGTATTTACTCACTATTCAAGACGCAAGGGAAGATAACGTAAAAGTTCAAAGTGCTCGAACGAAAGTAGAGTGCTTCGGTGGCATAGAAGACCATGGTAAGTGCCAACGAACAGCCGCCCATGCTGACAACGCTGTTTTCGAGAGACAATAACTATTATTCTGCATTACCTTCAATATAACCTTAATACTTACGGCCTGTAGTGTATATACAGAGTACAGTGAACCAATGCGATTGCCTTTAGAAGACAGTACATGCCGATTATACGAGATATAGTATAATCACCTAAGGGATTGCAATTTAGTCATATTAAATATACAAAGGTTGCATTGTATCTACCCTCGATGAACTGCGTATCGCTGTGATCGCCCAGAAAACTTCGCCGCTCGATATAGCTGCGAAACGCTGTGCCCAGATCCATAAAAGCAACAAATGCTATCCAACCACGAAAGGCGTAAAGCAGGCGCTCGCGGGGTCGACTGCTGGCTGACTGCATTGCCGCCCTGTAAAACAGAAAATCACAATCTCAACACTTAATAAACGAAAATATCAGCATAATGTCGTAAAAGTATATACTTGTATACACAATGCCGGCCGGTAAATCTATAAATCGTTGCTAACCAAACGACCCACTTAACCCTGCGCAACGGTTTCAGGTGGGCGCTGGGTAAAATCGATATCACACCCACACCTGACACGTTTGTTATTTATGCAACGGCAAATATTTACACATGGGCCAATTAATAGCTGCACGCGAGCACGTGCTATGCGCACCCGGATGCGTGCCCCGGACATGCTTGAGGCTATTTATTTTCGGTCAACAAATGGGATGCCAGGGTCACCCCGAGCAACGGAATTTGTGGCATGCAATTCATAAATTGAAACTTTATTTTGTGTACTCTTTTTAGGGTTTGCTTACATTGCGAATGTATTTTAGCTTTCTAGGCACACGCGGCGTATGATGAATATGCAATTATTATAGCACCAAGTTATTATTATTACAAAATGTCGCGTTTAACGATTGATTTTATCATTTTCCTTTTATCAACGCATTTTGCAACTGTTTGCCGCGACGCTTCGACGCAGATTGAAAGCTTCAACCGTCAAGGAGCTTTTATCCAATGTGCGAGCTTTCTTGCCACTGGCCGGCCGGCTGTTTCAAATTGTACCGTAGAAGTGCTAGCCGTGACAGCAATTTAATAGAAGGTAAATATTTTTGAAAAACATCATTAACATCCGTTAATTTGAAAATCACATATTTTGATCAAAAATGATATTTTGATCACTATTTATCTGGGTCTGTCCTTGTTATCTCTGAATACGAAAATTGCGGCACACAATTTGACTACGAATACAAACCCAATTCAGCTTTGTCATTTTTATTATGAAAATGTATAAAAAAAATTAGTGTTAACAAACTCAAATAAACAACTAAAATGTGTGTCAAGTTCTATGGCTCTCTGATTATTAGTCGCAATTTTAATCCTTGCCGATAGTCGCTTCAGTTTTGCGATACTCAGCATAATCCACAAACCCATCGTTATTCAAGTCCATGGATTTGAGTACATAGTCTATGGTCTCCTCCAGCGCCTTATCGGTATACACGGCGCCCGTTTTGTGTTCCGGCTCATCAGTTCCTTCGGCAGCCTTCTTTGGATCTTCAACTGAAATCACAAAGAAAAGGTAAAGTCTTAAATGTAATGATTAAACTTTTAAGTTCCTTTAAAAGCTCCACCATGTCATAGGCCAACTAAAGATTAATATTATTATTGTTTTTTCTTTTTAGGTCATTTTTATTTGCTAAAAACACGTTTCTTATAATGAATTGCATGCGCATATAAAGTATATATTTCAATTTCTAAAGATCAATTGAATGCTATAGTTTCGCTTGTTTTTTTTTTATTTTTTTCTTTTGTACAAAACAAATGTTTACACAATCAGCCTTTTTTTCGCTGTTTTTAAGTGACGCCTAAAATTAACTTCATATTGAACGAATAACTAAAATTAGGGGAAGATTAAACAAAAAAAAACAAACAGTTTAATTGCACAGATCACAAAATGAGATTCGTGTGTGCTATTATTCGAATTTTTGAGAAGTTGTGTAATAAATTATACAATTTGTTCAAAGAAGTTGCCCGATTGGAATGCTTGTAGCATGTTCAAAACATTTGTTTGAAGTATATTACAATTTGAGCTGCAATTGTTTGCGCCTAAATTTCAATGTGTGTGGTGTGTGTGTGTGTTTGTGGTGAAACATGAGTACAATGAGCTGCACAATGCGGACCAATACACTTATACAGACATAACTATGCTGAATTGGTTTATGCAAGCTGAATCGATTGAACTAGATACTAATGGGTTGGCTGCTGTTGTGGAGGCTGCTGCTGCTGTTGCTGTTGCTGCTGATGTTTTTCGGCAGCCTTCTGCTGAGCCTTAATAAACTCCGGATAATCGATGAAACCGTCATGCGATGTGTCGTCCATCTGTAGTATGGGATCAATGAGCGCCACAAGCTCTTCGTCTGAGAATACTTTCTCCTCTACATGGGGCTTCTCACCATTGGGCTGCTCTTTGCTGCCTTGCTCTACATACAGTTGATTTGAGATATGAATTATTAAAGCCACATGCGGTTTAGATAATGTTGAACATGACCAGAACCACAACCAGAAGAACCGGAACCAGCCGAAATGTAGTAAAATTTTGTATATGCAAATAAAGGTAAAACAAAACACATGAATCAAACAAAACCAAACCAAGCTACAGACATAAAAAACGTAAATGAGTAATGCCCAGCGGTGCTTACCGTGCCAGTGTATCAGAGATTTGATCAGTTCACAGCCATCCAGTTTGTTGTTGTTGTCCGAATCATGCATTTTAAAATAATGGAACTGCAGCTCAGCCTCGGACATTTTGCTCGTATCGATGGGCACTTGCATGTGCTCCTGGATGTGACTATGGAAAGATAATACGTAAGCAAATACAGGTGCGAAGTTGTGTATGCATATGATAAGATTATTTCCATTATGATGCGGTGAATTTTTAATACAGTTTCAGTCAGTATTGATTAATGGCGATGATTGCAAATTATCAATTTATAATTTGATAATTTTGCCAATGCCAAGACACTTACGCACGCTCTTGCTGAATGTTGCCCGTGTTCAAAACCTGCTGTGGCTGTCCATGATGATGTCCGCCCGCCTGCTGCTGATGATTCGGCACCTGTTGTGGATGCTGTTGCACAGGCTGCTGCATTTGTTGCTGCTGATGGATCTGCTGTTGCTGTTGTTGTTGTTGTTGTGGCACAGGCACCTGCTGATATTGTACTTGCTGTTGTTGCTGCTGGACAGGCACCTGTAAATATGTTAGCATATTAGTTGCCTTGAATAGCAGGCGTATCCCTGACAACCACTCACATATTGCTGCGGCGGCACGCCGGGCGCACCTTGTCCCTGTTGTTGGTATTGCTGTGGAGGTGGCGGCTGTTGGTGATGTTGTGGAACTTGGTGGGGCACTTGTTGCTGTTCCACATGATAAATAGTAGTAAATAAGTTTATAAGTCAACTTCCAGCTGGTTGCACAATATATAAAAATATACGGCATTTAATTCTACTCACATAATGCTGAGGATTTACGCCGGGTGCCACACGCTGTGCGCTGCTGTAGCCAGCTAGGGCAAGCAGCAAAGCTGCTGTTAAATCTAACACATGCATTTATGTGGAAGCGCTAATTTCGTTTGCGAGGATTTCGAATTTGGTGGCACGCACAATCACCACGTAGCTAGCTCAGCTATCAAAACACACACGTACACAAATTGATTCTGCTTCTTCACCTTTTGACAGTTACACAGCGCGACAGCTGTTGCACAGGTAAGCTAGCTATCGAATTTGTTATCGGCCGTTTTCAACAAGGTGGCAGCGCCTAAAATTTAATCCACAACCTGTTTGAGTTTTCATTCGTTTATTTATTTTAGTTAAAGTGAAAATAAAAAAACAGTTGAAATGGTATGGTATATGGTATATAGCAAAAATTAATTTTCAGAATTCTGCCTACAAAAGATAAATCAAACGTTTGAAAGGGTCCACTATCAAGCATTTATTAAAACTACTTTCCACTTGACTGAATGTCCCCATTTCCCATTTTAATTATTATGCTAATTACTTTCTGAATTTACTTTCTTTTTGTGTATAGGCTCGCTACTTTAAAGAACAGGACATCGATGGTAATTATACTAAACATAAAATAGTCATTGCATGATTTCATTCCGAAAATATGCTTATCTATGTTTTTCCTTTCCCCCGTAGAATTCCGCGAGTGTTTTTATCTGTTTGCCCGGTCGGGCCAAATTAACAATTTGGACGAACTTACGGTAAGCATTATTCATGTTAAAAATTGCTGAGCAACATTTCAGGTGAACTTTATCCAACAGGTCATTATGCGCTCCTTGGGCTTGTCACCCACTATACAAGAATTAGTTTCGTATTTAAAGCAAAAGAATGGAAAAATGAGTTTTGCAGACTTTCTGGACATCATGCATCAGCACTCTTCGGTGGAGAATCTACCAGACGAAGTAATTGCCGCTTTCAAAGCAGCCGATCCACAGAACAAGGGCACAATATCTGCAAAACAGCTACGCAATTTGCTGCAAAACTGGGGCGAGGGCTTGTCCGTGCGCGAGGTGGATAACATATTCAGGGAGGCGAATGTGAACAATAATAGCACCGTACGCTATGCTGATTTCGTGAAAATAGCCTGTGCACCGGTCCCAGATTATTACTAGACCAAAAGCTCCGTGCAGCTGACCCACAAACGTGCTTTACATTCCAGTACTTATTTCACATCTTATACTAAATCAAGCATGTACAATGCAATAAAGTTCACAACAACTGTATTTATGAAAAGTTTGTGGATTTATTAAAATGCAAAACTTTTCAACATGTTGAGAAGGATCGACAACCGATTTTAGTTGGCAATGGTGACCTCAACCTCTACTCCGGGCTCAATGTTGATTGAGGTGATCTTCTTAACGATCTCAGATGGAGAGTGCAAATCGATGATGCGCTTGTGTATTCTCATCTAAAATTAAGGAGGGTGAGCAAAGAATTAGTAAAAACACGCTTTCAAAATCTAAGTAAATTCACAATTAATATATTGTAGAATTCGGAGAGCCAAATTGTGTGGGTTACCAGCAAAGTGGACTATGAGAATACGTTTAATCTGGGCAAATCGATGATACTGTGCAAAGGCAGTTTGTGTACCGAAGCACGATATCTGATCTGTCCATACAAGAACAATCGAATGCTAAACTTTAAACTCACCTGGAAACGATCCCAGGTCTTGGAACCCTCACCGCAAGGAGTCTTACGGGTGGTGATGCGTAGAATCTTGGTCGGCATGCGCACTGGGCCCTGAAATTTAAAATATTTACAATTAGTTCCTGGAAAACCAATTTGGTGCAAACTTTTCGTTTGTTGCGTGAATCATATAATATCTTCACACTGTTTGTCTCAATGTGAAAATAATGTCCAACTCATGCATTTGATCTAGCATTTAATATTGACTAGGCTAAGCGGCAAGCAGGCACACAAAACCTCCAGGTAAATGCGGGCAAAGAATATTAAGAAATCTACACGCGGCAGCCATCTTCTTCTTACCTTGACACGCAGATTCTGGTTCTTGGCACCGTTGATCAAGTCACGGCACACATTCTCCAAGGAGCGTACGTTCCTCGAAGTCAGGGTGATGCGAATGCGGTGCACAGATGCAGAATCGCCGCCATGGGGCTTCTCAATGTCTTTAGGAGCAGCAGCCTACAAGCATAGAAAAAAGTAATATTGTGAGGTTATGTTACACACAGATGCACGCCCAACACGACACGTGCAGTGTTTTTTCATAAAAAAATTTCTTCTAAAAACGCGAAATACTTTATTATTGCGAGCCGAAACAATATTGTATTTGAATAATTACCATTTTTAGCAATTTATCTGGTCGAGATAGTCAAATCTTTTTATTTTGAGCAGCGCTGAACCAGTTAACTTGCTGGTCAAAAACGAAATGGGACGAGTGCCAGTCACAACGCCACGAGCTACAGCTATGCGCTCAGCGTTGCCACTCAGTCAAACAAAAATCTGGCAGCACAAGTTCAATACGCGTCATTCACAACAAAGCGCCAAGCATCTCTTTTTAAAACAAATGAAACACAAAATGTTCGACTATGTTATTTTTATTACGCATTCTCAATTAATTTGCGACAAACAAATGCGACTGAAGTGGGACCAATAATCAAATAACTCTATATAGATTACAATTAAAATTATACAAGTCAAAGCACAATGTTGTATTTAAATATTAAATCAACGTTAATTAGTTTTTGTACAATAAAAATCTGTTACTCTTTTATGCATATCAAAATTAAAAACCACTCGACGATCTTAAAACCTAAGTACGTCTCAACAAACGAAAATATAAGCCTGTGCGATTTTTTTTAGTAAATCGACAAATAAAAATCAGATAATGGTGTCCATCAAACTAAAATATATAACTTAAGAAAGCAATAGGCTAAAAGTTTGTGTCCAAATTGTTGTAGTTATAGATATTACTTTACGGTTAAGTTTATAGTTAAACGCCCCGAATGCAAAAACAGGCGCAACTCTGGCTAATGGGTTAAATAGATTTTAAAGCGTTTCCCTCTCGTATATGTACGCATATTTATAATGTTTATGGCTAACTAATGTACATTAATTATAGATTCGCGGCCTTTACCAACACCCACCCAGCGCACGGGTACGCTTAGTTGGCTCTCTAAGAAGCGTACGTAGTTTTGTGCGTTCTGGGGCAACTCCTTGAAGTTGCGTATGTGCTCAGTGGACGTCTGCCAGCCGGGAAGCACAGCGTACTCCACCTCAATGTCGCTCAGCTCGCTGATGGTGCCGGGAAAATGATCCAGTTTGTCACCATTGCTGCGCTTATAGCTCACACCCACTTTAATCTCGGGCAAGGTGTCCAGAATATCGAGCTTCGTTATGCAAATGCAAGTGTAACCGTTAACCAGCGACGTGTATTTGAGCAGCGGAATGTCCAGCCAGCCGCAGCGGCGCTTACGCTTCGTAGTTACGCCAACCTCAAAGCCGCGCGTCTGCAGTAGATCGCCAATTTCCTGTACAAAACACAATTAATAAGTGACAAGTGTAATTTAACAAGGACAAACTTACGTTCAACTGCTCCGTGGGGAAAGGACCGTCGCCCACACGCGTCGTGTACGCCTTGACAACGCCAATGACCTCGCCAATTGTTTGTGGTGGCAAACCCAAGCCGGTCAACACACCGCCAATGCTGCAATTGCTGCTGGTCACATAGGGATATGTGCCAAAGTCAATGTCCAGCATGGCTGCATTAGCGCCTTCCACCAAAATAGTCTTGCCGTTGCGAAGTGCCGTGTGCAAGAAACAAATCGTGTCCTTGACATATGGCCGCACCTTATCCACGTAATCCTTGTACCGTGCCAACTCGGCCTCCACATCGACCTTAATCGATGGGAACAATCGCAAATGTGTGTTCACAATTGATTTGAATCTGTATTCACAAATATGTTAGTCAGGAATTGAGAGGTTATCAATATAAGGAGCCACTCACTTCTCACTGAACAAGTTAAAGTCACCAAGAAGTTCGCCCACGCGAATGCCATTGCGTGTGGCTTTGCTGGAGTAGGCCGGACCAATACCCTTTTTGGTGGTGCCCAGCGATTTGCCGCCCTTCTCAGCCTCCTGCATACCGTCAACATGCTGATGGAAATCAAACACCAGATGCGCACGATCCGAGATAATCAAACGATTCTCCAAGTGCTGCAATCCCTTAGCCTCATTCTTCAGCACCTCGTCGAACAGCGAAGGCAGATGAATAACGACGCCGTTGCCTAAAAATACGAAAATAACAAAGAAAAATATTTAGTTATTTAGGGATCTATATGCTGCGGTAGCTATTTAAAGGAAATCCCATTTCGGGCTACTGTTGAATTATTTTTAATGCATTCTACTTTATTTGAAAGTGGAGCTCAAAGTTATTTATTTTAGGCTGACGAAACCCGACGACTGAGAAAGTACATAAATATAATTTGAATGAACAATACCATTTTACTAAACAAGAACGTTAACTTAGTAAAATTTGAAGTGTAAGAGCGGACACCCGTAGTTCACGTTCCTTTGTCCTGCTGGGTGAAAAAAAAAAAACTGTCTTTGTCGTTCTGTTTCAATGCAAACTATTCTGTCAGTTTTAAAGCTAAAGCCATGTGTACAGCAGGCCGGATTGGACCACTACATCATATAGGTGAGACAGGAATCATCGGTCGAAAATGAATATCTCGTATGAGAAACTTTTTTTGATTATCAAGATATTTCGGCCAGGTTCGGCATTTTTTATTTTCTCATTTATTAAGCAAATCTTATCAACATCGGACTAATTCACCATATATGGTATAGCCACAGTCCTGTGGGAAGAATTGGAATATTAGTTTTTGCATAGAAAAACGTCTTGTTTTCAAGAAATCTTTAATAAATCCAGTAATTACGATCTTCACTATTCCCCACACTTATTTGCTCAACCGTTTGATAGAATTCCATAAGTGTAATTAATTCTTTGTTTTCATATTTTTGGAAAACTTTTATTTCGTTTGCTCCAGGGATAGATTTTGTGCAAAAGGAAAGTTTTTCTTTGAAAGTAGAAGCAAATTGGGGAATAAGGAAACTCCATTAGTTGAGCTTTAATGCAACGTTTTTTCAAATATCTTTCGCTATCTTATCTATTCCAGAGATTATGGGTATGCCAGTAAGTTGGTAAAAAAGAGTTTTATAACTGGCAATATAAACACGTGCATGGATTCGCACCTTATCATACTGCTGTGATAACTGGCTAGGCATCAAAGAAATGAAGGTACTTTGCGTTATCTTGTGAGTGGCATTAACATTAATTATATGCAAGTTGTCTACATTTCAGTTTTAGTTGACTAATTCTCAGATAATTTGTGCTGCCTGTTGCTAAACGTAAGCCTGTAGCACGCAATAGACTTCAGGCGAATTGCACTGAAAAATGCTTTCGCATAGAAATTTGCTTTTATGGTATAATCGAGTCGCAAATAACTTAATTGCTTGATTCGACTAATTTGTCATGTATATCTGTACATGTTCATGTGCTTGTTTGTGCTTTTGTTTATGCAACCCTTAGCGAGATATCTGAATTGCAAAAGCTTACTAATACATGTGCGTAACGGGCCGTCACATGTATAGGTGAGATTGTGATTATCTCATAAATTAGTCTTGTGACAGGCGATGCCAAGCTACATTTTGTTTTGTTTTGTTTTGATAAGCAGCGGAAGGGGAATTTATCGATTAAACTTTAAGAAACGAACAAAATATGCAAAAGTTTAATAACTTAAAGATATAAATATGATAACAGCAGGTTGAAGGAACGTGTGCCTTGGCACGACCTTGCCTTTAGCAACAATCAACAACGGATTACGTCAAGCCAAGCAACAGCTCCATTGACGTCAAAATGCGAGACAAGAATCGAGATAGTTAATGGAAGACTGCAAAGGCCTAGAGAGTGAAACTAAAATAGAAAATAAATAGCCTTTATAATGCAGGCAGATGTCAAAGCCAAATGCGAGACCAACTGACCGCAAAAGCCAATGTCAATGTTGCATCAAGTCTTGCCAACAAAATGCTTATATGTAAACATCCGCACGATACATACTAGTTGTATATATGTAGATGAATATATACTACATTTTCGTTTATTTTGTACGCTCAATTTCACTTTTGCACTAGAACGAACGAAGGAAAGCTAAAAACAAAACAATAAAAAAAAAATTTCACTCTGTGTGTATGTAGCGATACAATGTAAAGGTGTATGAGTTCTTCTTAAATTTAAATAAAAAATAAGAAAAATATACTGAAAGAAAAGCATTAGAAATGATCGAAAACAACAAAGAATGAAAAGGAAAAAGATGCTTACGTTCATTGAAAAATATTCATTTTGAAAAATATTTCTTGCTTTCTTTTACTTGAGAATGTCAACAGTAGATAGATGTGCCTTATACCAATAGAGTAGGAGTTTCTTGATATCCCTTTTGCATCCAACAAACCAGGCCTGTTCCCTTGTACCACTTACCGATGACCGAAATGCACTTCTCGTTCACGACGCCGCTGGGCAACAGATGAAAATCGAATTCGGTGCCATTTGCCACCACAGTATGTCCAGCGTTATTTCCGCCCTGTTGAAAACCGATTAGAGAGGGGAGATTGGGGGGAAAAAAATAAATGAGAAAATTAGAGAATGAGAAACTCTCGCATACAAATGAAAACACACGTAAGTATACTATATGGAATATATACATATACATATACATATGTGTGTGTGCCATAGCGTTGCTGTTTATATACAGAATTAGCATGTTTGTTTTTGTTGATTAAAACTTGTGTGATAAATAAATAAATATTGTTGAACAGCAGGTATTAAATAACAAATAAATAGGCAGGCGGCGGCCGTGTGTATGGCGTGTGACACAAAGTATCCACAATGTTCGGACTACTTTTGTATATGTGATCGTATGTGTTGTACAGTAAAATTTATATTAACGGACAAGGGCTGTCGGACATCGAATTTTTAGTCGAACATCTTTAATCTCAAAGTTTCCCAAAAAGGTCCAAAAAAGATCGGACGCGGACAATGTATTTGTACAAAATCAATCCTTGGAGGAATTGTATGAAAATTGTATTAAAAATTATATCAGGAAAAAATAAGTATATTCATAGGTATATAAAATTATTTTTCTTATATTTGACACATTTTGATATCGCATATCTCCTTTATCTTACGAGCTGAAACCCGCTTGTCGCCTTTAGAGAATTTTCACTGTACATGCATAACTATTTAAGCAAAATGTTTTTCTACAAAATCCGATAAATAAAAGCGAAACTTTTGTTTGTTTTCTTGGCAACTGTACAATTTTCTGGCATGTACTAATCTGCTATACATATTTGAAAGCAATACAAAAACATTGGAATTAAACTTCAGACTCGAAAATATGTCAAATTTGCCGTTTGCAAAACGAGATAATTCAAATTTGTGTGTGTTGTAGAGGATCGCTAAAGCAGATAAGATTATAATGAATATATTGCTAAATAGACCCGTATTCAAGAAACTTTCGCTGCGCAATTTATGAAAAACGGAGGCGTGTGCTGTGTGACTCAGATAATAGCAAAAAATATCAGTTTCAATGGGGGAATTACATAAGAATCCGCAGCAATGTTGATAACAAAGTATAAAGCAGAAGGGAAACAATATTGTATGTGGTTGAAGGGAACTAAATCGGTTCCGTTCATTGAACTGCCGACCCAGAACAGAATTCAACAAGTTGGTAGCACCGGGTCAACAAAATTGTGACACGCAATTCAATCAAACAGTTAAAAAATGCTTTTTTTATGGTTAAGTTAATTTCAGGAAATTCGTAAATATTACATGCATGAATGTTTCATATTTAAATACATACATATGTATGTGCTAGTGTATGGCTAAAATTAATGTAAGATATTTGTGCGGCACTTTTTGAAAAGTGCGCGGGACATTCACAATGGTGATTATGTAAACCTGGCGTTTTGCTAAGCAGCCATGTGTGTGTGTGTGTGTCTGTGTATGTGGTAGCGTATACATATTATATGCATGTATACATGTGTGCACGTATATATATATATATACATAACATTTGTGTGCTGTAGAACAGCGGAACAACTAACGTCAGGGAGAACGAGTGACGAATTTGCTGAAGCAGCAGACGTTGGCAGACTGAATGACTGTGCACACACACACAAAACAAACGCATACATACACAAAGTGTACTATGAGCATATGCGCGCACACACCCGCCGCCACCGCAGTCACAACTGATACATATGTACATATGTACAAAAGTATGTATGTATATTCAAATGAAAAAGCGAAGCATGCGGTCGCCAACCACGGCAATAATAGCTAATTCTGAAGAAAATAAGTATCTACATGTGAAATGCTCAGTTGCTGTTGCAATTGTTGACTTGAAAGCGCGCAGCGATTTATTTTCTGTATGACAGCCTCGGGGTTTGGCGTCGGCGGCAATGAACCTGCCGCGAATGCGTGTCCTTGACACAAGGATAACTGTTATCACTTGCTTATATATTTTTTCTTCGCTTACGCCGATTTTTCACAACAAATTAAAAAAAAATTTTTTTGTGCTGCTTACCTGACACCTGCACACAATGTCCACTTCCGAAGCGAGCATGTCTACCACCTTGCCTTTTCCCTCATCGCCCCATTGGGCGCCTAGGACAACATCCACTTTGGACTTGTACATACTGGTACGTCCTTGATGCAATTGCTGGTAGTGATTACCGTTAATTGCGATTGTTGTTGACATTTCGTACCACTATCAGGAAATTCTCGGCACGGCCACGAAAACGAGCACGACGTTGATCTCGCTTGAAAACGGAACACGTTCTGTTTTTATAAAATAGTTTGATTTGCAGCTGTCAGTGCATGGCGTTACCAGACTGAATGTATGGTCTTGTGAGTACATTGTGTAGCGTTGCCAGAAAGATTGAGTTCTCGATTTGAAAAGTATTTGAAATTGAGGTTTATAGACATAAGATAATCAAATGCAAAGCTATGTGGTATGCAGGTTTTTGATGAATAATTGTTATTTATTCAGTTCTCATTTTCAATTATTTTCTATATTTCTGCATTTTGTTACCTTTTGCAAGGTCTTCCCTCTGTCAGAAATTTTAATTACGCTTGCGCTTTTTGTTTGTGCTTTAAGTGTTTTATATCACTATTAGTGTCATTCAAAGTAAAGCGCGAACATTCCGGATTAGGTGGCAACACGGTCCAACATATGTCAACTGCCAGATTGTTTTGTTAGCACTTAGTTGAGGACGCATTTTCAATGCCCGAGATGTCTGAAGAAAAATGTCACTTGTATGTATGTATAAATAAAATTAATGATCTTATTAAATAAATTAACAAAATTTCCAGCTGCCATGAGGCGCCCTTTAAATATACTTGTCCTAAGTGCAATGCGATCTACTGCAGCGTCGCTTGCTACAAGTCGAAGGAACATCTGAAGTGCTCTGAAGAGTTTTACAAAACGTGCATCCAAGACGAACTGGCCAGTGCAACAACAAAGTCTGAAAGCAACAAAGGCATGCGTGAGATATATGACATCTTAAAACGTATGCACAAATTTGATGCCGGCTTCAAGCCCGAGGATTTTGATGCGGATGGGCTAGACAGTCCCTTAGACTCGGATGATGAAGCGGAGCCCGAACAAGATGATGAAGGGGTTGAGGGAGACGATGGCGCAGAGTACCCAGAGGAGACGGATGAGACGGTGGACATTGCTGAGCGTCTGAAGGGCATCGACATAAATGATGCGGATGAAGTTTGGAGTCGATTGACAACGGACGAGCAGCAGGAATTCCAAAAATTAATAGCAAGTGGTGATATAATGAAACTTATGCCCGACTATAAGCCCTGGTGGTGCAAGCCGAAGAACTCAAAGATTGTGGTCATGCCCTCACCAACAGATGTTAACGTTGACATGCCTAAAATACAAAAGAACATACCCAAGTTCACGGACATATGCAAGACACCGTCGCCGTGCCTGCACTACAATCTCTGGAACATTTTGAGCGCATACGCGTGTGTGGCACGTTTCTTTGGCGGCGAGCAGCGCACCAATACCAGCGAGGCTGTTGCCCATTTGGTGAATCTCAGTGCAACGTTGAAGTATGGCACCAACTTCGAGGATGCTGAGGATGCCATTTTATCGGTGGAAATGGAGGCATGCACCACAGGAAATGGATCGGCTGGTGCTGCTGCGGTTGGCAGCGCAGGTGCAGGTACAAATTTCCTAGTCGAGAGTCGCGAACAGTTGCAGGAGGATGCACGACAGCTCATGTCCACGCAACAAAATAAATTGGCGGCGTTGAGCGATGTCCTTCAATTGCTGCAGCAGAGCAAAGCGTTGAGCAAACGGAAAAATTCAGAGGAAGCTGAATTCCAGAAGCTTTACGCACTTGCCAGCGGCAGTGTTGAGTTGAATCGAACCAAACTGTCGCAGCTGATCAAGAAAATAGAGTTTATGCTGTCGTATGTGGCTAGGGAGCAGGTCCTGTGAAAACGCTGTCAAATAAAACTATTTAGTTTTAACACAATTTAATTCTGGTAAATTTTTATTGTACGACCAAGATATAAATGTAATGGATACCCGTCTGAACGGTTATATGCGTGTGATACTAGCTAATTGGTTGAGTGCGGCTCTGGCGGTTGTCCAACCCCAAGTAAGTAGTTTGGCATTCGAAAATTCACACTATTGGAGCAAAAGAAAAATGAAATATTTTATAAACCCGGCATTTGACAAACAGGAATAATAGAATAGCCCTAACACCAATGTATCCATACTGTTAACTAAACTTAACACCTGGTGTAAGCTAACAGAATGTCAAGCAATGTTTGGGGCAAAATTATGCTCAAGGCTGACAATTTGATTTTATCGTGTGTGGCCTGCATTTAAAAAAATCATTACAATAATGCTAAATTTTTTATATATAATTTTAATTCACTTCTTAAATAAGCATCAATAATTCAAAATGGTTTAACGCAAACATCCAAATTATAAGTAACAAACAAATTGCATACTAAAAGAATCAGGTGTCATAACCGCATTGGAACTACAAGACCTCCACAGCGAACCAGCAGCATTTTGCAGCCCTCGTTGGCACAATATCTAGTTGTCGCTTGCCAGCCCTGGCAGTTTTTTTTAGTTGGCGATTTCAGACACACACGCAAGTTGTAGTGCTTTTTACGGCTATTTTGTTTTTTGGTATGTCCAAACGAATCGACACGGCATCAAATGCAAATGTTAGTCGTGTGCCACAGTATGCCAAATGCCAAAAGTGCTAAAATAATACATGTGGCAAAGCAACAACAACAGCAGCAATAAGAACATTACATAGAACATTTTGTGTGAACGCGTTTACGTTTTGGGTGCGGACAACGGTGCGGGATTGTGTGGCGGAATTTGAAATGCGTGTTGTGTGTGTGTGTGTGTGTGTGTGTGTGTAGTCTATCTGTCTGTGTGAGCGAAGTGTTCTTCTTCGCTGCGCTTCACTCGCTAAATTAGTGCAAAAAAAGGAAACAATTTGAGTGCGCCAGTGTGCGAGTGTATGTGTATGGCGCCCATTAAGTTTTAAACAAAACATTAAATCGTCTAGAATTAGAACTTATGTAAGCTAAACTAGCTGGATACAGGTGCAAATATTTGTTATTAATACGTAAAATTGTTCAATCTTGGCCAGAGATAAACGAGTTTTGGGCCGTGTGCTGCTTATCTTTTTTGGACTGCGTTGCTCCTTAAGTGTGTGTATGTGTGTTTGACTACGTTCGGATGTGTGTGTGTGTGCCTGCTTATCTATCTCGACAAATATGCGAAGTATGCGTCAACCTGTTTGTTAACTTTCTGTTAAAAATTTCTACTTCAATGCTGCGGCGTCGGTGACCGCGACGATGACAACAACAACAGAGCAGCAGCAGAAGCAGCTACATCTGCACCAACAACAATAATCAAATTAATAAACAACTTGGCTACAAGAAATCAAAGTCGCATAACGTGTACAATGCTAAATAAGTAGTTATGACTGCATGCAGCTAAATTTATAACAGCAAAGCGAATAAAACACCCAATGGAAATAAAACACCGTAAGCAATACGGCACTGAGCGTTGACGCTAGCGATGACGATGTCAAAAGCAAAGCTCAGCTGCCAGCCGTGTAGCAGTCGCTTGTCACGCGGCTGGAGAAACTGGATGGGGCGCAGCCTAACCCGAAACGGAAGGCTCTCTCTTGCTTGGTGCCCCTCCAAACGCCGGCAGTCAGTGACCGAATGTCTGCATGCGGCTCCATTGATAACATAATTGTGTGCACATATGTGTATCTGCATGTGTGTGTTTGCTTGTGTGTGTGTGTGTGTGTGGCAACCTTTGCATTGTTTACAAACAGCTGATGAGTTCGTTATACCCTGTGACCGTTTAAAATAACCAAAACGAGGATATAATGCTTTTGTGCAAGCGTATGTGACAGGCAGCTGTAAGCAAGTTAGTCTTTCTCTCTGTTAAATGCGGTGTTTGACTATATTCTAAAAGTTAAACACTAAGTTCGGATCATAAGTTTGCATATACCCCAAAAACAATAAATTTTGATGGTTTTTCAAAATGTCCCGCATTTATTTTTAATAGGTGTATACTCTTTATGGTACATACGCACTTCAAGTTGTTATCTGTATGCACTAAAAATGTATGACGTAACAAGAACGTTAGGAATATACATGTTTTTTTATCAACGGCTGTAGGGTATCTACTAGTCGAACACTCTTGTTTCTCATTTCTGTCTCGCCTGCAACTCCATTGAGAACTTACCAAATCAATTGAACACGTTGCGTTAAGTTATAAACGCCTTGAGATAATTGATAAAAGTGTTCCCAACTCTCAATTCACATACATGCATAAAAAACTGTTATCAACATGTACATGTGTGTGTGCTCGTATTTACTTTGGTTCTTTCGTAAGAGGTTTCCAATAAAAAGGCGCCAATTAGTTTGACAATTGTCTGGCCTTTTAAATCAAGACTCAATTGAATTTCTTTAGTAGCAAATTTAATGTGTTTATTTTTATAAATAAATGTCCAATTGCTCACCTGTTTAATTGGACTTTTAGGCAAAACTTAAATATAACTGAAATTCGCCACATTTTTATTTAAACAAGTCCGCGAATTCCTGCTTGGGCAAATTGTTTTACAAATATTTCATCCAGAACTGAAGAGCTTGAAGAATGTCCGTAATATTTCGTTTACATTCGCAAATAGATATCGTTTATCCACGTAGTAAAGCAATTTAATTTTTAACGACTTTTTATTTTTTTTATTGCTAAGGTTTTGGCCAAGTTTTGGGAATCTTTTGGGAGATGTTTCCTTTTATGCGTAACAGATTTCATGACAAAGTTAAACTTGATGGTTGTAAAAATTCAAAAAAAAAAATAGTAATCGATCTACCGTTAGTTGATTTTCTGGAACTACCGCTGTACTTTATCGCTTCAAAGAAGTCTCGTTTGATTAAATACACAGTTTCTGACAAATCGAGAGTGTGCCCCTTGCAAGGGTATAATTAAAGGCATTCTTTTCATTTTACAGTATGATACATGCAAAGAGGTAGCAAATAAAAACTACAAATCATCCAAGATTCCATTGCCTCTGCGCATTTATATTTTTAATCATATCGCGTAATGTTTATCGAACGAGAATTAGCAGCAATCTGTTGCTAACAAATGATCATTGGATCAAACTCATCACTTGAATTGTTTTGTTTGATGCAAAATAAGTGTATTTTAACTTGTTATGTCTGAGAGCCCAACACAAAGATCGTTTATTGTTTTATGCCTTTCAGATTTATAGCTGCCCT